TGGTGAAAGTGTTTTGAAAAAAGAATGAATGGTATTTCTTCTAAAAACAATCCAAAGAACTTGCTCTTGGGAATATGAAAGAGTTTGCACTATGCTTAGACCCAGTTGAATATTCTTGTAGAAAAAATTTTTTTCATAAACTGGCAAAGAGGAATGTCAGTTGTTGTTTTTAAAAATAGTCAAGGTTTTAGCTCCTTGACCCCATCAAAAAGAATTATAAGTAGTCTGATGGGCTCAACTTTGGACACACATAGTACTGCCAGCATTGATAAAGAAAACAGGTGCATTACCAGCTGTATTCAAGGGAAAACCAAAGCAAAACATCTAAACAATATAATAATAATTTAATTAACAATTGAATGCTGCTTATCTGCTCAGAAGGAAAGTCATTAAAACCAGAAACCAATTGATTGTGTGGCTGAATATTCTGAACTTTTGTGGGGAAAAGTAATACAACGGATTTATTAATCATCTCCTCTTATTAAAACAGACTTTAGTATTTAGATCTAAAAGCTAATTAACCAAAATACCTTTTAAATTATAAACACTTTTTCATGATCATATCAATTTACACTTTTACACAAAGAGCTTTAACCATTTGATTTTTGCCTTACAAAACCAAAAAGAGCATCTTTGATAGATCTTTAAACGTTAGAGACTGCATGTTTTATTTTTTAAAAACTGAGGAATGTAATTTCTTCCCATGAAACATATTGAAAATTGACTTCTGCTGTCCTTGTTTACAGTTACAGAATTTTAAATATAAGATTTTTCACATTTATGCTGCTTCTTTAGTATAGAGTCCAAGACCAAATCCAATAATTAATAAATTTGAAAAAAATAAGTTAAATCTTAAAAATAAACACCAATTTATATGTAAAGTGAATATTTCACAATTGAATATCTTTAATTATTTGCTGAGTTTCCTCCCAACAATTCTAGAGATTATCTAATCCAGGGCCTTTGCTCTCTTCACTCTCTCCCCAGAGGGGAAGTGACGTGCCTTAGATTAACCAAGATAAAAAGCTGTGACTCAGCACCCCTGAGTCAAGGACTCGTCACCGCCAAACCCTCTCTCACACAACAGGAATTTATGTTTTTATTCAATCAACAGACTGTTTCCCAAGAGCTGCTCATGTGGTATTTTAAAGTGAAAATCATTTTTAAAACGTTATGGGGTTTTTTCAGCATTTTAAAAAAACAAAAACAAAAATTTTAGAATCCTTTTAGGATTATGGGATCTATTGAAAAGATAATATAGAGTTCCTATATACCTCCAGTTTCAACTATTATTATCGCCTAATATTAGTATGGTACATGTGTCATAATTAATCAACAAATATTGATATGATGTTAGTAATTGAGCCCTTACTTTATTCAAGTTTCCTCAGTTTCCCCTCACGTACCTCTTCTGCCTTAAGATCCCATCTAAGATATGCTTTGTAGTTTTGGATCCTTAGGCACTTCTTGGCTGTGACAGTTTCTCAGACTTTCTTGGTGTTTAATGACCACAGCAGTTTTGAAGAGTACTGGTCATATATTTTGTTGATTATCCCTTAATTGAGATGTGTGTGATAATTTCCTATTTTTTAGACTGGGATATTACGTTTTTTTCGGAGGAAAACCATAGAGGTAAACTTTTACATTCATCCCATGCTATCAAAGGAACATACTATCAATAGGAACTATTGCTGTTGATGTTTTACCTTAATCACCCAGCTGTAGGTGGTGTTTATCAGGTTTCTCTACTGTATAGTTAGCTATTCTTTATGTTTTCCCTTTCCATATTGTACTCTTTGGAAGAAAGTCACTATATTCAGGCCACACTTAAGAAGAGGGAAGTTATTTTTCACTTCCTTAAGGATAGAATCTATACTAATAAAAGGATAATATGCTAATTAGGGCGGATGTCTTCCAGAAGACCTTCCAGACAAAGCCTTAGTGGCTGCGAAGGCTGAGGCGCAGCAGTTAAGGGCCCAGGCTCAGGCCAGCATTGGCAGCAGCAGGATAATGGAAGCTGCACCTTCTCCTGATCCACCAGGTTGCCTCCTGCAGTCTGTGGCTTAGGTTGGGGGCTGAGGCAGAGGTGCTTAGGGGCAATCACTCTGCAGGGGACAAGGTAGGAGTGATCAGGCCGTCAGAGGGGCAAGGTAGGGGTAATAAAGCCGACAGATAGAGGCAGTTAGGGGCAATAAGGCAGGCAGGCAGGCAGGTGAGCAGTTAGGTGCCAATGGTCCCACATTGTGAGAGGGATGTCTCCTGATCAGGCCTAAACTGGCAGGCAGACATCCCTCAAAGGGTTCCAGATTAGAGAAGGTGCAGGCCAGGCACCCTCCTGTGCACAAATTTTGTGTACTTGGCCTCTAGAATCTACATAAATATTTGAAATTCTTCTGCATGGCATATTGGTCTATTCGTTTATTTATTCATTAATTTATTTTTATCACAGTGAGCTTATAAATATTTATTTTATACTTTAGGTAATAGCCCAATGCTAATTTATTTATTTATTTATTTATTTATTTATTTAGCTCAAATTGTTCTAGATTTGGCCACTGAGAGATTTTTTTTTATCAATAGTTGGCGTTCTTCATCTTTTGAAATATCCTCTTTGTGTGTGTGTGTGTGTGTGTGTGTGTGTGTGTGTGTGAGCATTTTCTTTCTGGCAATACCGGATGCTCTAGACATCTTGTATATTTTCTACCTCAGTCCAAGAACCAGTCATTTCCAAGTTCTTTTGTGGAAAAATGGTATTACAAATTAAGGCAAAGAGTGATAATTGTGTTCTTTGCTATTGGAGTGTCTTTGTGTTTAAGTCCTCTCCACTGCCAACTCTAATGCATCATTCTAGCCTTGTTTATCTGTAAACTTCCACTCCAAATACATATATATGTAGTATGTTTTAGAATTGTTAATCTCTATGCCCATAGAAAAAAAAGAGTTTATCAACTATAGTACAGTTATTATGTACAGTTCCTTTTGCTTTTGGTCTTTTAGAGTGCACTCATTTTCCGTTACTTGGGTCAACACTTTACTCTCCTGCCCCTTCAGTGAGGTTCTTTTAGACATTTGTAATTCATTTAGATTATTTAGATTATTTTTTAGTATTTTGCCTTTTATCCTGGAATTCCCTAACCATCTAATTTATTTTTTTCATTTGAATATATCAACATTTATCTATAATGTGAAGTTCCATGCATTTGACAAATGCTAAATGTATCATATTTACCATTATAATACCATGCAGAATAGTTTTATCTCCTTAAAAGATTCCCTTGCTTTACCTATTCAACTCGCTAACCTGCTCCAAAACTCCTGGAAAATTATGCGTTTTTTAAACTCTAAATTGTTAGTAAATATCTCCAGAGGTAACCATCACAATCAAGGGATGTTTCTCTCATAAAGGAATTTATTGATGGATTGATTGATTGATTTTAGAGAGAGAAGGGAAGGGGGGAAGAGAGAGAGAGAGAGAGAAAGAGAGAGAGAGAGAGAGAGAGAAAGAGAGAGAGAGAGAGAGAGAGAGAGAGAGAGAGAGAGAGAGAGAGAGAGAGAGAGAGAGAGAGAGAGAGAGAGAGGTGGATTTGTTGTTCTACTTATTTATGTACTCATTGGTTAATTCTTGTATGTGCCCTGACTGGGGATGGAACCTGTAACCTTGCCATATTGTAACCTTGCTCCAACCAACTGAGCTATCCTGCCAGGACTATTAAGGCATTTTTTTTAAACAGTGTTTTCTGATATAGTGTTTCTCAGTGATCAGGGGTTGTGAGCCTTTATTTTTTAGATTTATTTTCAAATACTGTTGGCATAAAATATTATATTATTTTCAGGTGTACAATATAGTGCTTAGACATTTATATAACTTATGATTAGCCAATATGTCTAATGATCTAACTGTAAGCCTTTATTTTTATCTTGCTGGTATTTGTTGAAAAAACAAAGCAAACTATCTCAACTTGGAGTCAAACATCATTGTAAGTGGGGGAAGATGATGAATGAATTCGAGAGGACAAATGAGTGGATTGACAGGTCACATTGAGTTTGTGTTTTAAATTTTCAAAATCTGGTTGAAAATATTTTTCTTGAATAATGATTCAATAAATTCGAAATTGTTAGTTATATTTTATTCTGAAGGGGATCCATCCTTCCTTGCTACCCTTCATCCTCTCTTCTTTTCTCTTCCTTACTTCCTCCTACGCAAATGTTTACTGAGTGAATACCTATTTTTTGCCAGGTACTATATAATAGATGCTGGAAATGCACAAGTGTGCATTATCCCTGTCCTCAAGGACTTGCCACATTATTATTGAGGCAGGAAGATATGAAGGGGCAATTGCTATATAGTAATAGTTGTTCTGTTGGTGCAATAGGCACATACTGGAATAGAGTAACAGTTTGAAAATACAGGAGACCCAGACCCAGCCAGACCCACCCCCATTGGGTGAGACCTAGACCTGGCCGGCCCCACCCCCATCAAGCCCCTCTGGGTGAGGGGCACAGCCTGAGGTCCTCCTGTCAAACCCTGATGGGAGGCATGTGTGGTCTGAGATCCCCTGTCAAGCCCCACTGGGCAGGGGGCATGGCCTGAGTTCCTTAGCCTAGGCCAGGCACCATGCAGCTCAGGTCCCTGCTGTTGGGTTGTGATGTTACAGCCTTCCAGTTAATTTATATATTCCTCTATTATCTGTATAGATATTTTATTATTATGTTTCTAAGAATATGTGCCAACATTTCCACAAAAGTATTAATTCAGGAAGGAACATGGTCAAGATATTCTTCTCATTGAGACATTAAATCTTATTGAAAGGGAAGCAATTTTTTAAAAAGATTTTAGAGTTTGTGGCATGTCTAAGGCATGAAAGTGAATTTAAACTTGGAAATCTGTAAGAAAAATTTTATTGGACATATAATTTATGGAGCCTAAAGTGTTCACCCATATTAGTATTCACAAGTTTATTCTAGAGTCTAATCTGAAATGAATTTTCTTTCTTTGGCAGGATGATTCTTTAAAGCAATTGCAGGTGGTTCACCAACCATGGATCTTGCCAAGTGACACAGAAAGCGAAGGAGTGGAAGCAGAACAAGAGAAACGTGAGTAGACTCTATTTATTGACAAATTGCTTTTAGCCAGAGGTAACCTACCCTGAAGGTCTATTCCTTTCATAACATCAGATGTTGTCTGCAAAAAATTCAGACTCGACTAGGAAACCACGCAAAGATAAGCTCTATTTCAGGAATATAGATCTTGATTCAATTATGTCATAATTGTGTTGCAGAGAACCATAAATTAACTTTCTGAGAACAAGTACAGAACCTTACAAGAAGGAATTATTCTTCTAGAATACTAACATAAATGTCCATTTAGAATGTGAATCTTCTATAAATATATAATTAGATCAGTGATAATTTGTGATTATTTTAAAAAAAATCAAAATATGTTAGGAACAGTTTGTTATTATATATATAAAATTTCCATTATTAGTTAAATATATATACATATACATATATATATGTGTATATATATATGCAACCATTACAACCGAAAGACCGGAACAACCGGAGCTACTGGTCGACTGGTCACTACGATGTGCTCTGACCACAGCCAACTTTTCATGACTGGCCAACTTTCTGTCATCCCCTGGCCAGTCAACCTCCTGCAGTCCCTCCTCCCAGCCAGGCGACTACCTGCGGCCCTTCTCCCCATCCTTCCTCTCAGCTGGCAGGCCACAATTGGCCCAGCCTCCACCCAGACTGAGTGAGACGGCCCCAATCGACCCTGATCACTGGCCCGGCCTAGGAACCCCACCTGTGTATGAATTCTTGCATCAGGCCTCTAGTATAGAGAGAGAGTTGATCCTTAAAGAATGCCTAGTGTTGACCACAAACCTTACTGATAGCATAAGCAATCGTTTAACACATTTTGTATATTATATGATGATATTCCAAAAGGTCTGTGAGGAACTGTTCATATTTCTTCATTTTTTAAAGAATTCCTCAGAAGTTCCTTAGATTGTATTTCAACGGACCTATCTTAAGTTCTTTCTTATGCAAGTTCAAATCTGTTGTTGAGGCCCTCTAGTGAATTTTTTCATTTTAATTCTAGAATGTCTATTTTGTTCTCCTTAATAATTTATGTTTTAATTGGTAGGTTCATTTGGTAGTTCATTCTCATGCTTTTTAAGAATTTTATTTGACATGATTTCTTTTAATTTTGACTATACTTATAGTAGCTGATAACAAGTTTTGTGAAGTAAAGTCCATCATCTGAGTTTACTCAGGAGAGTTTTGATTGAATTTTTTTTTTCCTATTTATAAGCCACACTTTCATGTTTATTAGCATGTTTAATATGATTAATAAAACATGTCACTCTTTGGTTTGTTTGTTTAAAACTGGACACTTAATATAATGTGGGAACTCTAGTAACTGGACCATCTTCCCTCCCGTCCCCAGTTTGTTCTTGCTGCTGTTAGTTTTTGTTATTATTTTTTGTTGAGTGACTTTGTTGATCTACCATGTTTCCCCAAAAATAAGACATCCCCTGAAAATAAGACCTAGCGCAACTTTGGGAGAAAAAATTACTATAAGACACTGTCTTATTTTCGGGGAAACAGGGTAGCTCTATAAAGTCTATATTATTTAATGTACTCAGCCACTGAAATCCACACTCAGTAGCTGTGTAGTCAGCACATTCAATCTTCTATGAGTGTTCAGAAAATTCTAAGGCTTCATGGGAATTTCAGGGCATCTGAACTGGCACCAGGCAGTAAATCCTCAAAATTAGGTATTTCAATATTTGTATGTGGGGTAACTTATCATCATAAATATTTAAGGACTTTCCTTTAATTAATAAATATAAAAGTGAGTTAATAAGTGGTGTTAATTATCTGTTAGAAGCAAACCATTATAATGCCAAATTGCAATTTTTCTTTCTAATACTGGTTTTTGAAGATATTTTTTGGTTATAAATACATTTTTTTGTAATTTCTAGAAGCCAAATGCCTCTGAATTATTCGTGTGGCCTTCTTACTTTGAAATGTTTCCCGTATCTGTGGTAAAATTCTGATATTATGAATGGTTCAATTGATTTCTAAGCTCCTAGAAAAATTTAAAAGGTTGCATTTAATGACATATCTAACATAATCTCACAAACTAAACTATTATTAAGTGTAATGGGAAAATGGGGTCAGGTTGCTCAGCAATACATAAAGTTGCATGCTTCATACTACCTTCTTTGTTTATTAAAATGCCCTTGCCACATGCAATAATAGTCAGAAAATTTTATAACAAGTGTCAGAGAAGCCTGTGTTTAAACAACAAGACAGCCGAACTGTTATTTTGGACTGCAAAATTCATTGGATTCGAGCAGTGATTTTCAAATGGTGTGCCACAAGAATTTTTATAACATGAAATACCTGGCTACTTAGGGACAACTAACCACTTTTCCCTTAGAATATCAAATAAGAAATGGCAACAGCCAATACAACACTAGCCGCCTGGTGTGAATGAATCAAAATTATCCCTATTTGTTGCATGTGCAATTAGATGGAAAAATACTGAAAATTGCTGGATTGTGGAGTTGAATTCTTTAAAATTAAAAATAAGAGATACATGGTCCAATTTTTTGTTATTTTTAAAAATCAAAAGTATGAATGAGTAGCACATGTTTTTAATACTTTCACCAAATACTTTTTGTTTGTCTTGGAATATTCTTATATTTGCTCTAGGTGTGGCTAAAAAAAAAAGAATAGAGTAATGGACACAACATGAAGGAAAAATCTAGTTTATTCTTTAACTTTGATGGGTTTAGCTTATATGAAAGCCTTATATCCTATGGAAAGAATTGTTACAAATGAGAAAAATGTATTGGCTGGCTGCAAGTCTTCTTCATGAGTTTACAGTTTCCCCAGAGCCGTTTATTCATGACGCTATCAATTCCCCACTGTGTAGCTTTGGTGTCCTGGTGTAACGTTAGTTCACCATATATACTTGGGGTTTATTTCTGGGCTCTCTATTTCTGTTCCACTGGTCCATATGTGTCCTTTTATGCCAGTACTGTGCTGTTTTAATTACCATAGCTTTGTAATATAATTTGAAATCAGGAAGTGTGATGCCACCAATTCTGTTCTTCGTTCTCAAGACTGATTTAACTATTCATTGTCTTTTGCGGTGGTTTTCTTTTCTTTTCCAACTATTTTGTTTAGATTTTATTAAACTATGTATCTAATAAGGGATTAATATTCAAAATATGTAAGAAATTCACACAACTCAATAGTAAAAAAATAATAATAACCTGTTTAAAAAATGGGCAAAGACTTGAATAGACATTTCCCCCCAAAAAAAGACATAAAATGGCCAACAAGTACATGAAATGGTACTCAACACCATTAATAACCAGGGAAAAGTGACCAAAACCCTATAATGAAATATCACCTCACATGTCTTAGAATGTGTATTATAAAAAAAAATAAGAGATAAGCGTTGGTGAATATGTAGGGGGGAAAAGAGAACCCCTGTACATTGTTGTTTTAATGTAAATTGGTTGTTAAGCCATAATGAGAAACAATGTGAAAGTTCTGCAGAAACTAAAATTAGTACTACCATAGGATCTAACAATCTCTCCTCCGGGTACATACCCAAAGAATATGAAATTAGCACTTCATTAGAGAGTTACTCTCCCACTGGAGCAGTATTCACAATAGCCAGGATATGGAAACAACCTAAGTAGCTGTCAAAAATGAATGGACAAAGAAATTGTTATGTATATTACAATGGAATATTAATATGCATTTTTTAAAAAGGAGATCTGCTAATTTGCAACAACATGGATGAATTTAGAGAACATTATGCTAAGTGAAAGAAGCCAGATACAATAAGGAAAAAAAAAAGTGTGATTTCACTTATATGTAGAATCTAAACAAGTCAAATTCAGAGATTCAATGAATAGAATGATGGTTACTGGGGCCGGGTTATGGGAGAAATGGTTAGATATTTGTCAAGGGCTAAATAGTTGCAGTTATGTAGGATAAATATGTCTAGAGATCTGACGTCTAGCATTTAATGTATGGAAATTTGCTAAGAGAAAGGTAACAAAAATTACCCATAATATCACCACTCAAAATATCCTCCATTATTATTTTGGGTTTTGATCACATAGTCTTGTCACCATGCATGCCTGTTTATTTTTTATTAAGTATTGAAATTGTATATGAAAAATTAGAGAGATAATTTGAAATTAACTTCTTCCAAGAGAACATTTTACTTTGTTTCTGAAAGAAGTATTCCTAGATTATTTGAAATTCAACAAAAATTTGAAATTTTAAGCTGGGCTTTATTCCCATGTTGTGTTTAGTCCTTTCTTGTAGTATGTCCCTTCAGAGTAGCAACCCAAACCTAGGGGGTTTGAGTCACCTTCCTCAGTAACACTGGAGCTCCAATTCTAGGAGTTTTTTGCAATCTCTCTTTCGGTTGTCAGCCCCACAGAATTTATTTCAGTAACTGGCAGGTACCTTTAAAAGAAGCATGTCCCCAAATTCCACTTTCAAAATTTCTGTCTGTTTTCTTATTCTCCTGTATATTTGCCATGTACTAGTAATACTTTATTGCTTTGAAAGGTCTCTGATGCCTTCACACATACTTTTAAATGTATTTTTCATGTTTTTAGTGGGATGCTTTATCTCAATTATTTACCCAACCATTACTGGATTATCAATTTCTCACTTCAATATATTTCAACAGATTTAAGCATAATTAACACATTTTTCAGATTATTGCATTTTGTTTTTATAGACTAATAAAAGATTTACTTTTTATTGCTTTAATTAGTACCAAACATAGTGTCAGACACATAGCATGTGCTTGGTAAATATTAGTTAATTCTAAGCTCTTACTTTTTGGCTTAGCAACATAACATGTAAAATGCTTTCTATTTATGCAAAAATGTTAAAGACAATATTTAGTTTATCTTCTATCCCGTAAGGACATCAGTCTCTCGCTCCTTCATGGAATTTGTTGCCAGACATTTGTTAGTTTCTCTCTGCAATTTTTTGTGAGTATACATGTGACATTTAATTATGTCAGTGCGAGGCTAATT